ATAAACCAAACCCCGTGACCTCTAGTCACGACAATACATAGGGTTCAACCCTAACACACATGTTTGCATTTCTCGAGTCCAACTCGACTACATCACCATGCACATCAATCACAAGTCAATTACTCCACCAATCTCCAACGTCATGTTCACCCATGCAATTCTAGAGCATCGGGCTCAAGTACATCTCCTTACATGGGCTGAACCAAATCGTTATGTCTACCCAATGCAATTCTAGAGCATCGAGTTCAAGTACATCTCCTTGCATTGACATAGACCCCAATTCCTAAGCACTCACTATGCCTAGAATTGTAATATCAATAATCTATTTCGGGACATCCTTACGGACTGACTCATCATGATCTTAGCATCACATTACAACAATTTACTCACTTGAACCACAATCAAGTATATCACTTACAATCAAATCCTTAGATTCAATTTCTTAACAATTACAAACAATCATTGACTAGTAATCCAATACTATTAAGATTATTCCCATCAATCATATATTTCACTTGTAAATCCCTAGATATTTAGAAATATGTAGCAGCAACTTAATCATCCAATGTAATACATAAATGATCATTTATGTATCTACACAATTCACACATGAGTAAAAATGTCTATTTCACACAATAGTTCATTTAACTCCATTTTTATCAATATTATTTCCAAATCATTTGCAATTTCATTACTCATCTAATATATCATTATTTCATCAATAATCAGTCATTATAATCCATGGAAAACATGATTTAGGCATTTAGGTAATCTCATCCTTAACCTACAAGTTGTAAGCAACTAGATGTCGATCCTCACCTCAAATGAGCTTTAAATTTCTCTTTCTTGATCCAATGGTCAAAGATTCGGCCAAGGTGGATTAAGAACTGATTCCTTGCTTAAATACGAGTGTTAAGCAGCCTCCTCACAGTGCTATCTCAACCCCTAAACGTCGTCACGAAAACAGTCCCTTGAACGGGTGTTTTCCGGCGAATTCGTTCCCTAACCTTTCAAGGTTTTGTCTAGGTTAGTATCTAACCTTTCCAACAAATAAGGTACCCTTATAATAACATTCTATACACTTGAAATAGTGTATATTAGTTTCCACCAATCGTTCATATCATTTGGAAAATGAAAAGAAAGGTTTTGGAGTTCAAACTCACTTTGGAAAGGAAGATCCGATTCTGCGAGGTTGTGTTTTGTTCGGACGATTTGGAGGCCTTCCACAACTCCGTTTGATGCAAAACAGACCTTAACGGATTCCTCGTCTTGAGAGATTTCCGTAGAAACCTCACACGCACTATTTGGACAACTGGAGCTTAAGATACGAACCGGGAAACACCTCCCTCTCCCTGCTCGAGCTTATGCGCAGCAGTTCACTCAAGCTCGGTTTTTATCTGAAACTATCTCTCTCTTCACACATCAACCACCCAATAAGTCACCTGGACTTCAAGGGCTATCCAGGGGAACCTTATACACTTCATTTGGCCGAGTAAAACTCTAGATATAGAGGGAGACAAATCACACCCATGATTTGTGCGGAATTTGACAAGGTGGGTCCCCCCTTTAATTTCCTTGTCTAAGTCCAGCCCCCAAAGTCAGATATGGCCGCCTCCTAGGATTATTTCTCTTGTATTATATGTGATGAGAAGATTTTGAGCGTACCTTAGTGTTCCCCAATTATTTTGGGAGCCAAATATCAACTAATACTTCCAAAGATGGAAAGATGAGTCCTATTGTTTTATCTTTTGTCATAAGATGTCTTTTGTACTCATTCTAATTTATATAGACCAAGTCAACCTTCTACATCATATTATTGATATCTAATATGTGTAGGATGGTCCCCATAAATTATATGATGTATAATTATCAGCAGGAACCCTACTCCCATAATTTAGCTTAATAATGTCAAAAATGGGACCATAGACATATGTATTCTTCTCCAATCATTCAATCATTTATTTATGGCTTTAGTATTCATAATTATGGGCTACTAGCCGTGTGGGTTACCCACCAGTGGGTCTAGGACGCCATTCTTGAATAATTTCTATTTTTAGTAGGTTAGGCCCAAAATAACATTTGGGCTGCCCGACCGCACTTACATCGTACCGAGGGGTTGCATATCTTTATTTAAGGATGTTGGGCCCCAATATCAATAATATGGCCCAATTAATTATTTATAAGTCCATTACTATTATATGAACCCAAATAATAATATGATTAATCATACGTTCCGTAGAATTTTAATCGTTTTACAACTATTCAAAAATAAAGAACTTCAACACATAAGCTTTGAAATTAAATTTGAATTTCCAGGAAGTTCGGGTGCGGTGTCACACCCTCGACCTCAACTCGAGAGCGGCGGTGTTCAAGAATGAGTTACCCTCCGGCAGATCAATGAGTTTCCATTGGTCTGCAACACTCCCCTTCTTCTTGGGAGCTCTCATTTTCTTTTTGCCCTTCGCCGAGGGCGCAGCTCTAAGAGGCTCCGGACTGAGGGCTCGTGAAGTCCCTTCCCCAATTGCAATGGCCGATGGAATAGCTATGGTGACCTTCCGTCGCTCTTTTTCCTCCTCCTCCTCAGCCGTTTGCACGGCGAGGGCCATCTCCCCGTCTTCAATTACTTGCTCGAAGTCCTCGGCTTCGGCTTCGGCCACGAGGTCCTTCTGCACCTCCATAGTGACGGCGGAATCACCACTTACCGAAGGCTGTCCGCTAGCAGACTCCACGTCTGTGATACTCTCTTCCTCAACAGAAGGCTCCCGGGAGATATCTTGGGAATCGCTTGCTGAGGACATCTTTCGAACCGAAGGCGACAAAATGCGTGACAAAGGAAAATTCCCTAAGGCCACTAAAACACTAACGACTAAGGAATCAAAACTAAATATACTACTGAGGCGAAGAACTGACCTCGGGGAGTTGATTTTGATCGAATGAAATGTTTTTCTCTCTCTAGAAACAAATTGGGCAGAGCTTCGCTAAGACAACACAGATTGCACAAGGAAAAAGGGTCAGACCATGGGGTATTTATAGACTCCTCAATCCGGGCTTGGGCCGAAAACCGGGCTCCCAGATGCCAAAGTCATCATTACGAACCGTCGGTTCAACCAACCGGTGACGCCCGCCCACAAACAGCCAACTAGCACGTGCCACGTGGAAGCCCTCTCCAACGGTCATATTCCAACGATTGTTTTTTGAGAACCCGGAGGTGCCCCCAGTCGATCCCCTTCGCGCAACAACGCGGCCAGCCCTCGGGCTGTCATATTAAAAAAACCCTCATCAACAGTAAATCCCCCAATTTCAAAATGGGAGAACCCCACGGGAACCTTTGGCCCTCATCAACAGTAAGCCCCCGACATAAATACCAGGGGACCCCCCTCGGCGTCTACCGGACATCAACAAGGTACCTTCGGCAAATCAACAAGCAAGACCTCAGATCAAGGGGAGCCTTCGGTATCAGCATCATACTCAGACCAAGGGTCCATCTTTTTCGATTCATCATTGGGAGAACTCGATGCACTCTTTTTCCCTCATTGAGATTTTTTCCCACAGGATTTTTCCTAATGAGGTTTTTGACGAGGCATCCCCCAAAATGAAACGAAAATAGTTAGCCCTCGGTCCCATACTAAAGACGGGCAGTGCTCTACTTCTCTTCACCAAGCCTCAAGGAGTGGAGGACTGGAGGACCCCTTCGGGAAAATCACAAAAAGAAACAAAATGTCAAAATCCTCCCCAAGCATCAACATGATCCTTCAAGTCCCAGAATGTGGGGGACTGAGAGACTGCCCTTAGCACATCATACAAACACAGATCTCTCGCAACTTTACAAACTACAACGAAGCAAACACCAACATCAGAGGACAAACACAATTACTCCTTTTCCCTCAAATACTTTTTGGCAAAAGGAGTGAGGGACTCCTGATGGAGTATATGGCCCAGGGAACCCCGACCCACAGAATCCTACTACTTCAATCAGGCCCAACAGGCCCAAATGGGCCAAGACCAGCAAAATGAAGCTCCAAGCAGCCCACGACACGCAAATGGGTGCCTTCGGCCCCATGACCGAAGGCTACCATTGACAGAATCAAGCTCAGAAACATCACAGGAGAACAAGACTTGAGAACCGAGCCTTCGGCACTTGGAGCCCTCGGCACTATGAGGTCCCCAGTACGAAGAGCCTTCAGATTGTCATCTACAGCCGAAGGCATCCTCCTCGACAAAATATCCTCTCCACATGCACCTGAATCACCGTACCAAATACAACATCACATCCAACCACCGCATTTAATGCGGCCACATGCAGGTGCCGATGCCACCCGATTGAGGTGACTCCTCGACCGTTAGATTATTGACACATGTACTCTCATCGCATTTATTGCTGCTATAAATAGCAGCCCCTTTTTTCCGTTGTAAGGCATCACAACTTGATCACGAATTCACATACTGAATACATATTCTCTCTCTACTTATTGCTCTGAATTCTCTCTAATTATTCCCCGAAATAACCCCTCGGATAAGCTACCCCGGATACACTATCCATCATATTTACATAAAAATAAAAAAGAAGTAAGAGTTCAAAATTAGAGGAACATAAGATAAAAGGTATATGTAAAATGGAAAAGGAAAAAATAGGAGTATAAAAAAGAAAAATGAAAGTTAAAGTCAGAAAAATTAAAGTTCAAAATCAAAAGAAAAAAAAAGAAAAATCAGAGGCTATCAAAATCTTTATTTTTAAGATCTTTCGTATGATATCAATATTGTATATAATTTTTTTTTAAAAAATATAACTAAAAATGAATATATATAAAAAACAATTTTTTTGTCCAACTTTTTATATACAATATTGATACAATTAGAGAGATCTTCAAAAGTTATTACATCTGATATTTTTTTATAAAATATGGATAGTAAATAAAAAAGATAAATAAAATTAAAGAAAATAATGGAATGGGAAACCACATGGCAAGAAATGTTCACCATCTGAACAAAATTGCACTCGTATATATTGCCCAGATGCCATCCTTAGTTTTGAGGGTTGTCAACCCCCTCGCTCATTTATATATATCCGCGGCCTAGGCTTTCAATCGCTTAGGAGAAGCCCAAAACCTCGTAGTCGGCCACTGCCTGCTCCTAAGAGTCCGGCTTTCAGTCAAGAACGAGGTCAACAAACCAGACATCCAACGCCTTTCACCAATCCTCAGTGGGCAATATGAAATCTTGTTGTGGTACCAAAGCTATGTGCTCTGTTCAGCAGCCTGTTTTCACAAGGGGGTGTGCCTTGACGATGAAGGGTTCTGGAGTATCTTCTAATTCCAGTAAAGTTAGGGTCTTTTCTGTAAGGCCCAGTAAAGTCACCCTAGTTGAAGGCAGTTTAGCCACCGGGAGGCCGACCTCTTCTGTGACAGTGCCAGAGATTGGAGGCAAGCACTTAAGATTCTTTTATGTATACAATAGCAGTCATTTGTGTATTTGACTATTTGTGTGTGTGGAGGTAAATAAAATTTGATTCTCCGGTTCCGTTATTCCCATCAAATAAACAGTAAGCTTAAACATGTTTTTAGATCCTACAATTTTGCACCCTTGCATTTTTTTTAATAAAATTTGCTGTTTTTGGTAGCTCACAGCCATGGCAGTAAGTTTTACAAAATACAACCCTGACTAATATATTCCTGTCATTGTTTGTCATGTGATTCCAAGAATGTGTACATTTTATTTTCAAGGGGGTCATTACATTTGGTTTTTAAAATGCGAATAATTTTCACGTTGTTTTGCCTCCAAATGATGAATTTAAAACTTAAAAGTTTATAGTTGAGTACTAGAGTTATGCAATGGATATTAGTTTTGTTTTAATTGAGGTTGTTTAAAGTTAGAGAGGGACTGAAAGCTTGTTGTTGTGCAGAGGAGCGGTACCCAGGTGCTACTAGAGCCTATTTAGCAAGCATTTGACTGTAGCGGACACATTAGTCGTTATTGCGGGCACTATAGTGGTAGTAGTGTGCGCTATAGCGGGTATTGAACTTCTGAGTTGTCTGCGCTAGGATTGGAGAATTTTGAGGAATTTTTTATTTTTATATTTTTTGAAGTGGTGAACTGGTAAAGTTTGCTTTTCAGCATAAAAAGTAACCACACTAAATCCCTCCCAAGTTAAAACCCATCCAAACATTCTAAATATTGTTCTTAGTCATCTCTATTATGTTTCTTTGATGACCAGCGTCGTGGCTAAAAAGACTACAAACCAAACCAGAAAATCTTTTACCACAACCAGAGAGACCATGCTTCATCAACTACTTTCAATTATTGCTGTTTTTTTCTACTTTCAACTCTTCATAGTCATCTACCACTAGTCTTGAAGCTTGTTTAGTGTGGAGCCTACTGCCTCGTTAAAGGCCACATGAGATAACCTGAATCATGATTTAGAAGTGGAATAGATAGAAAGATTCTAAAATGAATGTCACGAAGTTTGGGATTTTGAGCAGTATTTACCATTTATGCATTTAATATGTGTGTTTTATGTAGTTGTGTGTATACATATAATCTCGGATTATGTATAAAAGTTATCCAAAAAGCGTCATCCCACTATAGAATTTTCGTGGTAGCCGCTCCGCTCCGCTATATGGGATTGAAAACACTGATATTTCAAGGATGAAAAAAAAGAAATTATTTTAGAGATTTAAAACAAATTGTTTCATATTTGCAGGGGTACTAAAAACATATTTAAGCGTAAAAATTATCTTGTGTAAAATATTATCTGGATTTTCCTGCATAAACTACTTTCATCAGTTTCATGCAATCAAATGGAGCCATATATCATTCATATTCTGCACACATACTCTTGTTCCATACATAGTTTCCTATTTCTTATAGTTGACAAATGCTGTTCTCTTAATCCCTTTGTTTTCAATAATGCATTTGTTTGTTTTGAAATCAATAAGTTTCATCTGTCGTATTTCTTTGGAGTGTATATGAAGCTGCATTTTTATAGGTGCTAGTAGCAGCTTCCCGGACTATGATTTAAGCCGAGCTGATCCTGATGTGCAGTCTATTATCAACAAAGAGAAAGAACGTCAATTTAGAAGCTTAGAGCTCATTGCCTCTGAGAATTTCACCTCACGAGCAGTGATGGAAGCAGTTGGTTCTTGTCTCACAAATAAATATTCTGAAGGACTTCCTGGAAAAAGGTGAAATTCCCTGTTAAAGAAAAATGTATCACTGTGTTTTTTCAGATTCCAGCTGTTTGGGGACCTTTTCTTGATTAGTTTAAAAAATTTTATTAGCTTCTTCTTTTGCGTAGGTACTATGGTGGGAACGAATTCATTGATGAGCTAGAGATTCTTTGTCAAGAAAGGGCATTGGCAGCATTTAACCTGGACAGAAGTAAATGGGGTGTAAATGTTCAGCCCCTGTCTGGTTCTCCTGCAAATTTTGAAGTTTATACAGCCATTCTTAATCCACACGATAGGATAATGGTAACTCTTACTGTTTTCACTATGTTTTTGAAAGAAAAATAACGATTTTCAGGAACATCTATTTGTTTTCACTATGGTAATTTCTGACATTTTATTCCGCTAGGGATTGGACTTGCCTCATGGGGGGCACTTGTCTCATGGATTCATGACCCCCAAAAGACGGGTTTCAGGAACATCTATTTATTTTGAATCGATGCCTTACCGACTTGATGAATCTACAGGTACGCATTCTTCGAAGTATGTTTGTTTGAAGCTTAGTCCTATCAACCCTCAAGGGGTTGTCTGTATCCCAGAAAGTTCAAGAGAAAGGGAAAAAATGTTAAGGCATGTTATTTTCTTTTGTTTGGCTTTGCTTTTGAAAATTGCTGAGGGAAATGAATTTCGATTAAATTCTAACTTGTTTTTTCTGTTTTCTTAATCTTTATACAATAGAAATAAATACATAAATATGAAAATATATATATCCCTTAATAGGAGTGAACAGTTTGGTTTATCTAAATAGAAGTATTGTGTTTTCCCTAAATATGAATAACTACTGCCACCCAGAAACGATACTGCCATAATATGATAATATCATTAATATGATTTGAAGATGTTAATACTCTGATCCTATTTATGGGAAAAACATAGTACTCCTATTTAGGAAAACCATCTGTTTTACTCCTATTTTGGGAATTTCCCTAAATAAAATGAGCTTGAGCCTTTCATCTAAGTTTCTCTCGAAATTTTTCCTCTCAGTTTGCCTCTCTATTTTTCTCAGTTTTCTTTTCATGATATTATCTGGTTCAAAACATACCCTTATCGTTAGTTGATATCATGTCTACCTGGGTAATATACAGGTCTTGTTGACTATGACATGCTTCAGAAAACTGCAACACTGTTTCGGCCTAAACTTATTATTTGTGGTGCTAGTGCTTATCCAAGAGACTTTGATTACCCTCAAATGAAAAAGGTATAGTTGATTTGTCATTTGGTAAGTAAATTGGTAACCTTTATCTATTGCCCTCCTATGTATCTTTTAAAGACGGCATTATTTTTAGCTATCAGATCGTTTTATTTGATCAAATTGGTTGCTTCCTATATGTCCGGACAGATAGCAGATGATGTTGGGGCTTTTCTAATGATGGATATGGCTCACATTAGCGGCCTTGTAGCTGCCTCTGTTGTTGCTAACCCTTTTGAGTACTGTGACATTGTTACAACTACAACCCACAAGGTGAAGGTTTAAATTTCTTCTAGGAGTAGTAAGTCGTTTGTACGTTATTCTTATGCCATCTCAAAAGTCAAAAAGTAGTCTTATTTGTGTGGTTTAAAATTTTAAATAAGCTGTGCTTGAACCATAGAAGCTGTTTTTATTAATTTTAAGAAAAGTTGATATTTTTTATACGGTCAGTTTGTGTGTGTGTGTAAACTGTATGATAGAGAGCGGGAAGAGCATGGGGCGGGACCGGGCTTGGGCTTACTTCCGTGGGCCGAGTTAGGGCTGTCGTTATAGTTTAATTATTATTATTAAGTTAATGTTATGTTTTAGTTTGGGCCTATTATTAGTAGAGTAGTTAGTTGAGTTAATTTGGGCTTAATTAGGGTTTAATTAATATGGGCTTGATTAGGGTTTCTTGTAGAAGGCTATTTATACCCCTTGCTAGGGTTCATTCTTATTATCTTGGAATAAAGTTAGAGTTTAGCCTTTTGGCTTTGGGCAACGGTATTTTTATCGTTGATTATCTGGGCAACGATTCACCCTGTTGATTTTATTTTTCTGTTACATACCAATTGGTCCGACCTGCCGGATCCCGTCCCGCCGGAATGACGAGATCAACCAACGAACGTTTATCAGAAGTTTATCAGAATTGGAGGCTGAACAGGCCCTAATCAATCAAAAACTTGACACGCAAGGACAGAAACTTGATCTGCAGGGACAGAAACTTGACACACAAGGTCAGAAACTGGAAGAGCAGGCCGCCCAACTTGTGGAAATCACAGCCTCTCTTGCAGCAATCGCGAAGGCCATGGTGCCGCCGCAGAAATCTCCCATCGCGACCGCCGAGAGCGACTCCTCCGGCCACGTCGCATCTGTCTTCTCCGATGATGGCGGACTGCGCACCGCAGCCACAACGCTACTTCCCTCGTTCGATGGTGAAGACCCAATTGGGTGGTTGGCGAGAGTGGAGCAGCAGTTCGAGCTCAACAGGACCCCACTAGACAGACAAGTTGCAGCGGCTAGGGTTTCTATGGAAGGGGCTGCCCTCTATTGGGTGACGTGGTTAAAGGCGCGCAAACCTGGCATATCTTGGGAGGAATTGAAGCAAGCCTTGGTGGCCAGATTTGATTCCCGATATCAAGGAAACAGGTTTGAACGGCTGTCCGGCGTCAAACAAATTGGGTCGGTGGAGGAATACAATACCTTGTTCGTTCAATTGGCTAGCCAAGTTCCGGGATTGACCGACGATCATTATTTGGGCTACTACATGAGTGGACTTGGGGAAGCAATCCGAAGTTCGCTGCGCTTATTACGGCTAGAAAACCTGGAGACAGCCATGGAATTAGCTCGCGATGTGGAGCATAATCTGTCCGTCCAAAGTGGAGGAAGTGGCAGCCCGAATTATAATTCTGCAGGGGTACGTTCCAGCAGCTTTTTAATGGCAAACACGGGTCCTCCGTTGACTGCCAGTGGTGGCAGCTTGCAGGGATCAAGGGACAGCTTTGCGAAGGATAGTGGACAGCCTACGAGGACGAAGTCAGGGCTGTCCGGGCAGCCTACGACACGCTCTCAGTTCACTCGTCTTCCGCCAAAGGAGTTCGCAGAATTGAGGGCGAAAGGATTATGCTTTAGGTGTAAGAAACCATTTACACCGGGGCATGACTGTCCCTTTAAGCAGCTGCGGGTAATGATAGCCGAGGAGGAGGAAGAGTTAGACCTCCAACAGCATGAATATTGTGAAATAACCGGCCAGGAAAGAGTTAGGAAAGAAAGGAAGGATATTTTCCAGTCTATTCTATGTCTGGGAATTTCAGCTCCCCATCTGTCAGCTTTCAACCTTGAGGACAAGGTTATTTTGAAGGAGGATGGTTTGATAGAGAGCGGGAAGAGCATGGGGCGGGACCGGGCTTGGGCTCACTTCCATGGGCCGAGTTAGGACCGTCGTTATAGTTTAATTATTATTATTAAGTTAATGTTATGTTTTAGTTTGGGCCTATTATTAGTAGAGTAGTTAGTTGAGTTAATTTGTGCTTAATTAGGGTTTAATTAATATGGGCTTGATTAGGGTTTCTTGTAGAAGGCTATTTATACCCGTCGCCAGGTTTCATTCTTATTATCTTGGAATAAAGTTAGAGTTTAGCCTTTTGGATTTGGGCAATGGTATTTTTATCGTTGATTATCTGGGCAACGGTTCACCCCGTTGATTTTATTTTTCTGTTACATACCACTGTACGGCAATAACATTTTAGTAACTCTAGACAGCATGACAATCATTTCATTATTAGTGTTCTAGTGAAGTTCTTGTACTGTAGAATAAACAATTATGACTATTGCAACCCAAATATTTTTATCATGCAATCATCAAAGCTAATAGAATTCTCTCCAGTCTCTGAGAGGACCTAGAGGCGGCATGATCTTCTTCAAGAAGGATCCTGTTCTCGGTGTTGATCTAGAATCTGCCATTAACAATGCTGTCTTTCCTGGTTTACAGGTCTGTTAACTCTCCCTTTTGACAGTCATTACCTGCTAGTTCAGTTATGGTTATACTTGATTATTTGTTGTGTCTTCTGGGACTATCCTTACAGGGGGGTCCGCACAATCACACCATTGGGGGTCTAGCTGTCTGCTTGAAGCATGCAAAGTCACCCGAATTTAAGGCATACCAAAACAGGGTATTGCATATGTTCTCCCCATTTGTTGTGTATTTGTGTTATGCCTCTCGTTTCCAGAATAGTTGTAAGCTTTAAGTCTGCTCTTCAGGTAGTTTCTAATTGTAGAGCTCTTGCAAGCCAGTTAATGGAGTTGGGGTACAAACTGGTATCTGGAGGGAGTGATAATCATTTGGTTCTTGTTGATCTAAGACCTATTGTAAGTCAGTCAAGATCTCTATCATGTTTTCCTTCAGCAACTGCTTTGATCGCTGATATCATTTTGTACAACAGTACAAGTGCATGTGTGTACTATGCTTTTGTTATATGAGATCATTGTGTGTATGATGCCTTTTTTAACAATTTTTGTGCATGCTGATTTATCATAAAGGTTCTGCAAAATGCTAGGTTAGTTAAAAAAATGAATTCAGAGATTCTTCGTGTTATATACTTATTTTTTTTATTTTTGCAGCATGTAATGTTTTGTTATTTTATTTGTTGATGACTTTTTTATTTTTTGCAATTGAATTAGCTCATACTTTTCAGTAGTTTACTATTTTTTTTTGCAAAATAATAAATAATGAAATATTTAATGGAAAATTAGATATAGAATGAAATTTTTGTGTTCTATAGTGATGGAAAAAGCTGTTTACTTTCCAAACAATACATATATTAATAGTAAAAGTAGTAAGTAAATAACAGAAATAGATGATCGATGATACTGATCAATCTATATCCTTTAGGTAAGTGGTGGAAAATGATTTGGTCTGGTCATCCTTTGTCCAGCTAATTATTTGGGGCTGACTAGGTCAAAATTACGTGGTCCGGTCACCCCTTGTGGGTTGATTATGTATGCCAATGTTTAGAACACTAATATAGCGTTATTTGTCTTTGAACATTGTGTTGATCAATGGTTTGCTGGCGAGTTGCTTCCATTCATAATATGGATTTCATAATTTCTTCACTTAATCTGTCATTTTTGCTAAAATGGAATATTAACCACTGCTCAAACCAATATAGGGTATTGATGGTGCTAGAGCAGAGAAAATCCTCGACATGGCTTCTATCACTCTGAACAAGAATTCCGTACCTGGTGGGTGTGGTATCACATTTCATACCCCCCCTGCTTCAAAAGAAAAGGGTTCTTTTGTATCAAATGAAGCTATTTTTCATTCAATTTACTGAAACATTCCAAACAAGTTAACTTGGTTTTCAAATGCAAATAAACTTAAAACTGCATGTAGGATTGTTAGTTTGCCAAAGTTGTACCTTACTAGAATTAAAAAGTTGTGCTTTGGTCAAAGAAAACATTTTCTTTTTCAGGAGAGAGATAGAATATGTCAGTAATGCATTTATCTCTTTGTTGTGCTCAATAGTTTATATAACTGTCTAGGTGATAAAAGTGCGCTAGTCCCGGGTGGCATTCGTATAGGATCACCAGCTATGACCACCCGAGGTTTCCAGGAGAAGGAATTTGTGGCAGTTGCTGAATTTATCAACGAGGGCATACAAATTGCCCTTGAAGCCAAGAAATTGTGTTCTGGTTCGAAACTCCAAGATTTCTTGAAATTTGTTACATCTCCAGAATTCCCGTTGACCAATCAAGTGTCTGATCTTCGTGGAAGGGTCGAAGCCTTGACCACTCAATACCCACTGCCCGGCCTGTGAGAAAAATACAGCGAACAGAAGATATGGATGTGAAGTCACCATCTCTTTTATGAAGTCATGAATAAACTGAGGGAACAACAACACAGGTTTGAATTTCGTGTCTCTTTTGTGTTGTAACCGCACGTGTTCATGCTGATTCCTTCAGCTTGAGTTTGACTTTGAAAGTTCTCTGACTAAAAAGAACACCATTTCTAATACATGAAAAGGAGTATTGTATTCTTAACAAGAGCTCAGTGTAGTTTCACCTAGAGATTTTTTTTTGCAAATTAGTTTTTTTGTTCTATGTTTTTGCATTAGCCATTTATTTCATAATTTATAGAATGGGGTCTTTCATGTGACGATTTGTTGTTTTCTCCCCCCTGACAAGCACATCGCTTGTGAGCCTTTTGATCCGCTTATCAATGTGATGGCATGGTCCGAGAGCATCTCCAATGTAAAAATTGTGAACGCTGCATACGTGGCATAAGAGATGGTCAATTAAAAGACAACAAATAGAATATCTCTCTCCTTGTTGTAACAGTCTAATATATTTTTGATAAAGTTTCTCCCGCAATGACAAGCACAATGTCTAGATGTAAACATTATGGTTGACATTGATAAGAAAAACTAATAAAAAACACATAAGACCGTGAAAAGGAGACAATAATGTTATAAATTTAATGTTATAAATTTAAAGATGCTCTGAAAATGTCTTTCCTATTAGGTTTGGTTGAACATAAATATGACAAATCACAACTCATCTGCAAACGGGTCGAAACCTAACTGACCAACATTAGAAGTTTAGAACCAACCAATTTGGTCAAAGCACGCTAAAATTGAACCAAAAGCCACACAAAATTCAAACCGGGTGGTTTAAAACCCGACTGGCAAAAATTGGAATCGGTTCACACTTAGAACCTGATGGACACCCTTGTTTGGCCATGACCCGCTCGTTAGGCTATCAATTGTTGATTGAAATATTAAAGGCAAAAAGATTTGGCTAGCTTTAAGTTCCATTCACTTAACTTTGCCACCTCTTACAGAGGAATGAGAAAAGCTAATAAGGGCAAGACGGAGGGGTCCATCCATTGACCAAATTAAACATTCTCTCTTAAATGTAGCCCTAATCGTTAGATGAGGTGTATACTACAATCAACACCGCTATGCAATTTATTTTTCTTCCATCCAAATATAAATTTAGGACAATAGAAAGAAGTAATGTGTGCATTGGTTAAAATGCAGTTGTGCATAGGGGTGGACTCGGGCCGGGCCAACCGGCCCGGAACCGGACCGGCCCGCTACTGTGCGGGCTCGGCCCGGACCGGTGAACCGGTTCCGGGCCCGGTTCGGGCCAACCGGCCCGGTGGGATGGCGGTTCGGGCTCGGGCCCTTCAAAAGGTGAACCGGCCCGGCCGGTTCGGGCCCGGGCCGGGCCAATTTTATTATTATTTTTTTTGATTTTTTTTTAAGTTTTTGGGTTGGACTGGGTATTTTGGGCCATTTGAGGTGGTTAGGGTTGGTTTGGGGGGTGAGGGGGAGGGTTAGGGGTTAACTAGGAAAAGCCAAAAAATAAAATAAAATAAAATAAAACCGAGGCCCGGCCCGGCCCGGCCCGGCCCGGCCCGGATCCGGGGGTTACCCGGGCCGGTTCCGGGCCTCCCCTTCTTGAACCGAGGCCCGGCCGGGCCCAGGCCCGAACCGGGCCCGAACCGGACCCGAACCGGAACCGGTCCACCCCTAGTTGTGCATTTGACATCAAACTAAAAATATAAATGACTTTGTGTCTCAAAGGGTGTTTTTGGGAGTTGGTTTTTGAAGGGGAGGGAAAGGCATGTGAGGGAAATAAACCCTCCTATTTGTGTTTGGGAGTTTAAATAATACGTGGGAAAGGTTTCGGGGGTGTTATAAAATCCTTCTAAATCCTCCAAAACTTGAGTTTTCTAATTCCCCTGATTTGAGGGTTTTATAAGGTCTAGCTACGCAAATGAGAGATTTATCCTCTGAAACTAAAACTGCTTCTGCATAAGATTTATGAGTTGCTACTCGCTTCATTTCTCCGCTGCTGAAACCCCTCAAGTCCCCAAATTCCCCTCTTTTGAAATTTGCAACTCCCAAACAAGAGGAGCGAATCCCTTCCCATCTCTCCCCCCTTCCCTTCTCTCTACTCCCCTTCAAAGCTTTCCCCTTCCCTCACCCTCAAACTCCCAAACACACCCTAAGAGAATAACCAAATAAAGTTGGTCCCAATTATTGTGATCGGACACCCAATACATTTTTGGCTCATCCTTAGTGATTAAACTAGCCCAATATAAGGGAAACAGAAAGGGATGAGCAGTTGAGCCGCCATATTTAAGGAAGTCGACATTCCAAACCATTATTGGCCCAAACCATTATTCCCTATCCTTCTCTCATTTTGGGTGGCTCACTGGCTCGTATGAAGAGAGAGAGGGAGAGAGGGAAGGGAGGGGGAGAGAGGGGGGGGGGGGGGGGAGAGGGGAGGGGGATGGAGGGAGAGAGGGGGGGGGGGGGGATGGAGAGGGAGGGATGGAGAGAGAGAGAGAGATGCTCTCGAATCTAGGCAACAAAACACTGTTCCTAGTTATTGTCGTTATATACCATATTTCGTGTGTATGACTTTTCAAAAATCATATAGTATTATGAATTGGAATCGTCGAAGAACACCAATTGTAAGAGATTGTTTTTCGTTCCAGCAGTCAAAGAACTTGACACTCACTCATTGCCCAAGAACATCATAATGACCGGACCGCCCTTGATCGGAGGTTTGACTCAAGGCTTGAATAGGAAGTATGTTGAGCACATTTTGAGGTGAGGATACTGGATAGTTGACTATGCTTATAATTGGCAAGTTGAGCATGAAATTGCCCAAGTAATCCACATATGATTTTGATAAACTTAAATATTACTCTATAAATGAATGTGCATAATGTGTGAGGACATATGAGCATGAGAAATAATAAATGGTTATATATTTGAATAATCAAAGTGAAGATGCATGAGGAGAGAAATCCTTAAAGCATAATTATTTGAGTACATATGCTTGAATGAAACAGTGAATGCATCTAAGTTTGTATTTGGGCAGTGATGTGGTGGCAACCATTGCATATGTAAGAGCAGTCTGAACCATCCTCTTTATGGATGGCGATCTTTGTTAAAGTATAAAACTTGGTCTCATCCATGTTCTTCATGGATGGCGAGCATTGCATAGATATTAGATATAGATTTCAGTCTCAGTCATCCCCTTTATGGATGTAAGAAAACCAGTCTCAACCACCCTCTTCGTTGATGAAGATTGTCGATCTCGGTCGCATCAATCTTCTTCATCGGTGACGACTGTTGTAGCTATGGGTGGGCATATTAGTTCGTTTGATCGAATTGAACCAAAGGAAATGAACTAAGTCGAATCGAAATCAAACCATATGCAATTTGATTTGAGTTTGGCAACATTTCTTCCATATTGTATTAAACCAAAGTGAACCGTAACTTAGGAAAGCCATACTGACCTAACAAATTAATCAAAATCTTAATCTATCATAAAAAATTAAAACGAAATCAGATAGAATCAAACTAAATTGAGCTGAACTGAAACATAGTATGGTTTTTCTTTGGTAATCATTCTTCCAATTTCTTTTGAACCTAAACTAACCAAAAACTGATACAAATCTAAATGAAACTGAAATGGATACCTTTAGTTGTAGTCGATGAAGACTGTTTTCAATCATCCCCTTAACAGATGATGATTGTGACAGGTGAAGGATGAAAAACTCTCCCTCTTGCTTCACTTTGGGAGGCTCTGGTTTATTATTTTTCCTTCACTAGGATTTTTTCCCATCAGACTTTTCCTAATAGGTATTAAATGCGCTTCCCGCCAATTCCTTGGTGAAGTGACCCCGTTTCCAGATATCTACTAGCCAAACAAACTCCAGATGTTTTGATGCATACCGCTCGGTCACTACCGAACGGGGCGTATCGAGCTAAACATGTGTAAGTGGTCGAGCCTGGCCGTATCTGAAAGCGGCGTTGGGCCCATTTCATTGATTGGATTGCTGGGGGTATTTGGTCCTGTCCGCTACCGGGCCTAATATCCCACCACAAACCCTCCAGTTCTAATGTTCCGGACATGCATATATGGGACATGAAGAAGAAGAGAATGAAAATCTGTACGTTGAGCGATCTCTCCCGTTCAATGTGCGCTAACAGTTATCACACCGTTTTATGAGATTCAAAGATGACGGTTGTGGCTGACGATTCACTTCCTAATATTCCCATGTGCTATCCCATCAATTTGGGAGACCCTTAAACATCTAGGGATTCAGAGAGGCTCGAACAACACACCGACCAATAAGTGTGGGGTGACGCCGCTGATGCCGCCCCGTTAAGACAACGTTGCAGAGGCGCATTATGGCAATGAAATTGACTCCAGCGTTGAAGCTACTTCTGAGGATATTATGAGTATCTTAGACGATGGCCCCCTGTTGACCTTCCCCGTCATGACCCCCATCAAGACCGTTCAGAAGTGGAGACAACGCCTTTCGCAACACTATCTTGTACGTTTACCCGCTCTCCTACCGCCGCTCATCGTTAGAGTACCAGATGGGTCGTCCATGCCATGTGTAGCCGCCCGAACACGGCGGCGAAGGTCCATTTTGACTTGGTGGAGGTGGTTTTGTGGTCCCCCCTTCATCCATTCTTTGGTCAGATCTTTAACTTCTTTGAGGTAGTGTCAATGCAGTTCATGCCGAACTTGTACAAGGTCATAGCGGGCTTCGTGGCCCACTGTAAGGAGGCTGGGTGGATCTGAGCATGGACCTCTTCCACTACTTCTTCAAGATTTCCCCTCAATACACGAACATGTATCTTACTATTGGAAGCCGTTTGTCGCGACAACTTTTCAATAAGAAAAGGATTTCCATTAAGGGATGGGAAGACTAGTTCTTCCTTGTCGGATTTCAGATGGCCAGATCCTGAGCCGGTGGATTGGTTATCCCCCGAAGGTCAAGAATCTCACGTGTTAAAAACCCTGGAGAACCAAATCATCGTCGTCGAACAAGAAGTGTCTACCACATCGTGGAGTATATCACTGCCAACCGTCTTGCTGACGCCAAGATAGGTAATGCCTGTACACCTTGACTGATTTTAAAAACTCAAGTACCAAAGTCGGGCGGAGCTACCTCATGCGGGGAGTGTCCCTCTGGGTTCGCACAACTCACCACGATTACCGATCGCCCGATACTAATCTCGTTTTATTATTTTTCAGGCCCCCAGTAGCTTCAGCAGAGATGGACCCCGTGTAACACCCCCAAATTCATACCCGAAATAGAAGCTAAATAAAGCAAGAATAGAAGGAATTTCCCAAAAATATTGCAGTTCGAAAGAGTTCAATTGAAGCGGAATAAAATAATCATTGGGTGTTACCGCAACATTCGGCTATCTCTTAACCGAATGCACAGGCTAAACGACAATCCAAAAATAATCCAAATATTCAATGGTTTAAATCTCAAAACAATTTAATTGTCTACATGTCTCAAAACTGAAATAAATAACAGCTAGGTGATTATAACTACAAAACTATGTGATCTAACGCAACTCTCATCAACAAGCATAATCCTCATCATTTGCATCAGATGAAGTGCAGAAAACAAAACAAAATCAAAAAGACAAAAGTTAGCTTTTTAGCTAAATAAGATCCACTCAACCCTGTAAAATAATACTACGCATTATTTATCAAAATTGTTTTTATACATAAGTATAGTTCGAAAATCAGTAGCTTTGTAAAATACTTCACTTGTCTTCAAAACATTAGTCACACTTTAGTAAAATACTACTACCTCCGTTCCTATTAAAACTTCCAAATAGGTTTGGCACATAGTTTAAGATAGTGGGTATTGTGTGGTGGAGAGTTGTGCAGAGGAGAGAGAAATGTGTAAGAAATGTTGTGAACCACAAATTCTATACTACAAAGGGAAAGTGGAAGTTTTAATTGGAACGGACGAAAAAGAAAAGTTGGAAGTTTATTTAGGAACGGAGGGAGTAGTAATTTCCAAAACCATCATATCTTAGTCAAAAGCATTCATAATTAATCCATACTCATAAACTTTAAAATAATAATATTATAACGAAGCAGTAAAATATTTCGTTAAAAACATTCTCATAAGTAAATCTCAAGATCAAATAGTTTCTCAAGCCTAAATTAATTCTCAAGTGATGGGCAGAGCTCAAGATTCCCCGAGCCTAGCGAGCACATGGGTCACCGGCCGCAACCCTCACGACTGACTCCGCAACTGCAGATCCCATCAGTCACAAGTAATGGAAGCTAGACATCTACCTTTAAGTGTGCACACCCTCTAAATGGGATTCCAAAACCTCCGAGTAGTAAGAAGTCTAAGTAGTCAGGATATGTTTCTACGAACTACTCACAAATAAGAATAAATCCTCACAAAGCAAATTAGGAACTTTTAGTACTTTCACAAAATAAAAGCATGATTACATCCTAGTGTTAGGTATGTCTACCAATCACTCACAAGACTCAATGAATTCACACAAAGGTAAGTAGTCCTAACCCACTAGCATCCCGGGTTTCTATGCGAGACACTCACAAGTCACAATTATGAAATCGTTGTTCATAGTTGTTATCAAACTAATTTGATCTCATTCTCAAATATTTTCTCAAAATATCTCAATCATATTTGTATCTCAAAAATATATGCATAGCATGTCAAGTTCAATGTCATAGTTCACAATCTAGGGTTTAACCCAAAACTAGTTCCAAAATAGTATTTAATCTCATGCTCAAAATAATCCAATAAGGATAGTTCTAACTCCAGATTTAGGGTTTTTGGAATAAAGTATTCGAGTTAGGGATGTATTTATAGCAAAAATCCAAGTTTGAGTCAAACTGGGCTGAAATTAGGGACGAACGCACACCGTGCGTGAAGCACGGTGTCGGACGCACGGGTTTTAGGCTCTTCATGTGTGGCCGCCGTGCGTGGCTGGCGGCAGCCCCCCTCTTTGATCCTCTTGCCACACACGCCATGCGAGACCTCCGGACGCACCAAAGTCAAAATTCGCTCCGTTTCTTCCTTGTTTGGGCCTCTCCTTGATCCCAAACATCAAAACAAAAATAATAAACTATCTAGAAACCTTCTAAATGATATAAATCACAATTTTCTTTATTTCTCTAATTTTCTCATTTTTTGGGATATTACACCCCACTCGTCTTAAATCCCTCCAATCTAAAAAGCCCTCATTGAAGAAGTGAAAAGGCACTGCTCAAACCCGGTCTTTTACTAGCTCTCAACCCGATTCTAAGGGCAATACTGTCGTGGATCCACCGGTCGTCCCATGCTCTGATACTAGGGCACCACTCGAGACGCCAGCCGACACCATTCAATTCCAGGTTCCCATGCAATCCGTCAGTGGGCTCCAAAGGTCCAACACAATCCTCTGAGGTTTCGTCAGATCTTTTATATTTCAATGTATTTAGAGAGCACATAATGGCGGTAAATGGCAGAAGGCAATAGCAAGAAATGAGGTAAAGTGCGTCAAGTTCGATTAGATGGGCTCAGAACAGTTATAACATACCCTTACCGAGCCCAAGCTCGAGCCCGAGTCCCAATCTCTAGTCCTAAATTGAGAGTTTACAGAAGTGAGTAAAAAGAGAAACTAAACTATTGAATGCAAGTTTGTCAAGCCTTTACATTGATGTGGGTATTTATACCACAAGGTAGTTTTTTCTCGCTGATATTGGGTTTTCCATAATTCCTTGATGAAGCAAGACAGATGTAGTTGGCTGAACCTGGCCGTATCTGAAAGCGGCGTTCAAGCTATTGCTCTAATTGGGCTGCTAGGGGTATTTGGGCTTGCCCACTATCTGGCTCAATACCCAACCCCAACACTTCCTTTTTACATTTAACCTATTCTTACCTTTATATGTCATCATTTTATTATGAGTTTCATACTGTACAAATTACACTTCATGTAACTTCTTTTCTTTTAAAAGTAAAATTTCAATTACACCATCTTTTTCTTGAAAGCTCAATCACAGCATCTTATTTACCTAAAAAAATTAGTATTCCTCCAGCAAAAACTAATTGCAAGTTGCAAGTCTTGGAGAGAGTAATTAGAAACGGCGTGGAGTGGAAGTCCGGTCTTTAATTTTACCCATATGGATTACAGCTCATTGTTGATGATAAACGCATATTGACTAGGTAAAACTATACTTACTTTTTACCATTTTTTAGTAAAAGAAAATCTCATCAGACATGATTGCTTGTACGGACCTCATGGTGACACAAATATTCAACCGTTCAATCTTACGAGGGAATAAGATGTTGTATACATGCACCGTGTTTGACATTCAGTGGTTAGCAGATATCGGGTTACGTTAGTGGATTGTAAATAGCGGATTTAATCTACGGGTTTGACTAGTGGAACAAATTGACGGATTGTTAGAAGATGTTTCGTAATTTAGTTGTTTAGTCATAAAATTAGTAGAAAACAGACATTTTTCAAAAGGCCAACTCAAAACTCTGACGATTATATTAGCAACGTTTTCATTTTAGCGCTTTCCTCCAAATCGTTAGTGCCGAACCACTCTTTACCAAACAACTTTTTCACTTCTTAAAAATGCTTAAAGTGGTCAAACCGCCATTTTTCGGCTGAAACGCCGTTTACCAAACACCCACATTTTTCTGGTGAAAGTGGTCAAAACGCCATTCTCCTCAAATCAAATACAAGGTTCACATGTGTACCTTATTATAGATCCAGTTAAGTTCTAAGTACAATTTATTTTTATTTCTCTCATCTTTTTAATTTTATCCCTACTCAACACTTCATTTTATATTGAATTAAAATAATTATCTTATTTCTGTCTTTCTTCTATGCTAGTAGAATGGAGCTTAGTCATCACTGACTCATTGGAGATGCTCTTGGTCACCGACTCAGAATAAATTTGACCAAATTTAATTTAAACAGAAGAAGTTTGTATTAATGAGATGGAAGTAATTTTGAGCATTATACTTTATAAAAGTGATGAAGTTTTCTTGACGTGCAAACATAAAAAGTTGGCAACCTTTAGTAATTAGTAGGAAGCCATTACAATTATTATTTTAAGTATATGCATATGGGATTCAGACTGGTGTGTTAAACACGTACAGGTAGGTTACGATTACTGATTAACAAATGAATGAAGTATATAAAATCATTATTATTACAAATCCGACATATAAATGATCCAGTTCAATCATATAAAAATAATATAAAAATAAGCATGGAACATTTGCCAACTAATTGTTGCACATACAACACACATACATAATAAATTGATACAGGGCCAGAGCGAGTATAGATGCACTAAAAGTTGAATCCCAAGTCCAACGCCCCCACTTCCCGACTCGACAAGGCATTTTAGACATATATTATGGAAATTGTTTCCTGGTCTATAATTTTGTAATTTCACATTTAAGGTTTACTATAGTTTTTATTCCATCATTTGCAATGGAGCCAAAAACTCATTATTTTTTGGCTTGGAAATATGATGGAATAAAGCAAATGAGCTCACTAAACTGTCTCTCTGTACTTTAGTACAGGGGTAAGACTGCGTACATCCGACCCCCCCTTACCCCACTATAGGTGGGAGCCTTTGCGGCACTGGGGTAATGATAATGATGATGAAGGTTTACTATAGTTTTTCCTAAAATTAAAAGGATCCATACCTTTGGTGTGTTCTTGCACCATTGTGGGCGTACGAATGTGGTGTCCCTCGACCCTCGTTCTTGATATGTATACCTCATGTTGTGACTTGGTGAGTCAATTGATCGATTTTTTTAGATTCTCGGGTTTTAATTTATATATAAAATTTTCCCTATATTTTTTTAAATAAAAAGCTGAATTTATTTCATCAATCACAATGTTCTTAATACAATAAGAAATAGATTAAAAATTTGTGCAATAAGCATAGCTTGTAGATGCTCTAGCAAGAACATGAGCATAACACTAAGATGGATGAAAAAGGTAAAACGAGACAAAGTTAGGGAATAAGGAAAAGGTGGGTCAGGAGTGACATACTTTTGGACTATCCTTCTGTCAAATTGACTAACCTGTTTAGTAGTATTTTATAAATTTAGTTGTGGTATCCTTTACTTATGGCTTTTGTGGAACAAAATAGACAGTTCCCCACAAAAAACGCTTCTCCTTTTTGCCCTCTCTTTCAACGCCGGCTCCTTTTCCCCATCACTCTTTATTAAATTTCAAAACGGGGCCCTCTCTTTTGCTGACATTTTAATGCAGAAACCCTTTCGAGGGTGAGTGTTTCTTACTGTATTTCTTAGATCACAATCAACTACAAGAAGGAAGCTAGGCAGGCAGGCCAAAGTTATATCATTCTTTCTTTTCTTTGCCCATCCACCATATCATGCAGCTCCTATAGCTTAGCTTAGCTACGGAGCTAGGATCAAAGTCTATCTTGTAGTTCATTAAAGCTTGGTACTGGGATCAAAGCTTGATTAATTTCTGGCCTGGGTATGTATGGATGATTCTACATTACATATATACTTAGCTTCTCTATATCTACAAGCGCTGGTTACTCTGTTTTTTTCTTGCTTTTGATCGAATTGTATCTTTTCTTGAAGCTTTGCTTTCTGGGTGTTGAAAAGTTTGAGTGTTTCGATCTTTTCCACTTTTCTTGAAGCTTTGCTAGCTAAGTCGGCTTTATTCCTTGATTAATTGAATGATTTCTGATGGCATTTTTCTTTCTTGTATGGGTTGATGATGCACAGCTTCCATTACAGCTACCTATTAATCAGTTCCATCATATCTCTAGCTGACAGAAACACTAGCTAGCTAGCTAGAGCTTGACGGTGGTCTGCTTTTGCCGATCGATCGTGCTAGCTTTAAACGTTGACTGTTTAGTTTGAGAGATCGAAATGAGTGATCAGAAGAAAGGAGAAGCCAAGGACACGGCGGCGGCGAATAAAGCAGACGGGAAGGACACTGCGGCGAACAAACCACCTACGAAGAAGGAAGAGGAAAAGAATGCGGCACACATACCACAGGATCAGTTTAAGGGGGTTTCTTATTGCATCAGCAGTTCTCCTCTATGGCGTGAGTTTTTATTTCTTTCTCTCTTAATTCCTCAAGAGAATCTATACGTTTTGTGACCAAACCTCCTTTGTCATATAGAATTTAGCCCATTAGGATTTGAAAATTGCGTTAAATCCCCTTGTGTTTTAATTAATCATGTACAAAACCCTTTTTGTGAATAAATTTAACCGTTTGGAAATCACTTTTCCTAATATTCTGATTGAATATGCAATTAAATATGTCAAAACCTCTAAATCATACGTACGTAATACTATGTACAAAAATGTTAATCATTTTTCTTTTATTTGACAATTGAATTTGTTCATAGAAGGGATTTTGTGCATATTTAATTAAAACACAAGGGGGTTTGACACATTTTTTAAATCACAGAGGGTTAATCCGCCAAATTTCCATATCACAAGAGGGTTTGGTGCATTAAACCCTTTCTATATTTGACTATTTCTTGTGCGGTTAAATTTTCAAACTTTTGAGGGAAGGAAAGACTATATGAAAACATAGTCTATCTCTAGTTTTCTTAAACGTTTTAAGTCTAGTCTGATCTGCTCTTAACCGGTCTTGAATATGTCTACTCCCTTTTATTTCATAACTGTTCAAGCTAGGTCTTATATGTGATTGAAAACGGTCCAAGCAAAAGCGTCATTACTTAGCAATTCCCGTAAGAAATGTATTTAACAAGTTGTTGCAAATAGGATCAAATTATTTGTAATGTGAACATTAGAGGAGGCCATTCGGGTTGTTCAATTAAGAATGTTTTTATTTGGACTTGTTTCGGTCTTAGACTTCAACAAACCACATTAAATCATATCAAGACCACCAGAAAAAAAAAATCAATCTCATTCAAAGCATCCTATATTAAACCATGTAACACAAGCTAGTTTTTTTAGGTCATTAGTTAGAATCTCTCATCTAGGGCCGGCCACCGGAGGTTTACGAAATTGTTAACTTGTGGCTCATTGTATTTTGTTCGATTTGGGCCAAAAACATTAATTCGGTTTACGATGCTTGACTGACGATAAATCAAACAGATCCATGTCCACATTCAAATTAATATTTTTAGATTTTTTTTTACATATTCATAAACTACATTAAAAGCTTTACGAAGTCGCAAAAAACCAAAATCAAATTTGATATATATATATATATATATATATATATATATATATATATATATATAAAGTAAGAGATTAAGAGTGATTTGTGTTGACCAAGTGAATAGAAATTGTGACAATCTTAAAGGGACGGAGGGAGTATTTGTTTGGGTACGGGTATCATTGTTTTGCCTAAAGAATAAGATTAGATAAGGTGATAGTGACTATTTTTTCAGAATTAGGATGTCTTCATAGGTTTAGATCACGTATCACTTATCTTATTTTAGCATTCTCATCCCACATATATTTATAATTGACTAAAGTTGTTTACATTCCTATATTTCAAATGTAAAATATTTATTTTATATCTTACTTCCTCCATAATAATATAATTGACTTAAGTTATTTACATTCCTATATTATGTCATTCATGATTAAGATGCACCTTTTACAAATATATCTTGACTATCGCATAAAAGTGCATTTAGTAAAATAATCAACTGCAACGTTAAAGAAGAAATGTGCATCTAAATTGTACTACTTTGTATTATAAGACTTCATGTTTACTAAAAAAGTGCACAATGTCTCGCATGCATGTGCACTAGTTTAGAATGACATACATAGTGCATCTAAATGTGGATAAGTTTGAGATACACTTCACAAGTACATCTTATTGTATCAAAAAGTTCTAAAGTAAATCATAATCAAAGTGTTATGTAAAAATATTTGAATATTATAGAACAATTACAAACCAACTAGAAACGCATATTTAAATGTTGGAAGTGCACAAAAAATCATATTAAACATATCATAGAATGACCCACATAAAACGTAATTCCGGACATTACATTGCATAAATATATATTGCATAAATTAATGTGAAAACTTGCAAATTAATTGCACAAATAAATAGATTACAAAATAGTAGAATACACATATCATTGCACAATGTAAAAATAACATGTGCACCATTATAAGTGCATGGTTGCGGCACTTGAGAGTCTTTTATTTAGACATGATGCAACCTTCTCAGTTCAATTTGCAAATTGATTCGAATAAAAGTGCACTCGCACAGTTATTAAATTTAATTGCATGTGGTGACCGTATTTATTAGTTAAAATGTCAATTAAATATTTCATCTGTTCAAGGAAAAATTAGTTCGGAACTTTAGGTGCATTGAATTTAATGATCCTAAATATATGGAAAGCTTGCCTACGGTGCTTTATTAGCCAAAATAAATGGAAATGAGTTTTACACTTTTGACCTTAGATCCAAAAACGTAGATGGGATAGTTATAATTGCCATTCAAAGTTTCACTTAATTACTAAGCTACCACCACTAATTTAAATTCAATCTAAGCCTTTGATTTTATATATTTGATGGTTGGATTTCATTCTTTTTTCTCTCCTGCGAGTCCTTTCTCACTGGAACCCTCCCCTATATATATATATATATATATATATATCCATCATAATTAATTTGTGTCAATTTTATTGTGCAATTGCAGCTGAGGCCATCCTTCTTGCATTCCAACACTATCTAGTCATGCTTGGGACAACTGTGATTATTCCCTCCGCTCTTGTTCCCCAGATGGGAGGTGGAAATGTGAGGCCGAAATTGAAAAACTTTTTCTTTGTGTGCTTGTTCAATACAGTATTAGGGTCTTGCTGTAGGTTTTGTAAAGTTAACATAATTGCAGCGGGTTAATGCACCAAACTCTCTTATGGTATAGAAATTCACCGCATTAGCCTCATGTGATTCCGAACAAGCATCAAATCCCCTTGTATTATTATTAATCATGCGCAGAATCCCTTTTATGAACAAATTTAATTGTCAATTTAAAGAAAAATTATTAACATTTTGTACAATATAGAGATTTTGACAATTTACTTGCATATTAAATCATAATATTAAGAAAAAAGATTTTCAAATTTTTAAATTTATTCACAAGAGGGGTTTTGTGCATGAATAGTTATAACATAAGGAGGTTTGATGCAGTTTTTAAATCATATGAGCTAATGCGATGAATTTCTATATCGGGTTTGGTGCATTAAATGCAGCAAATAAGGAAGTGAAATATAAGTTTGTTTGTTGGATGCAGGAGGAGAGAGTCAGAGTTATTCAGACGTCTCTATTTGTAACTGGCGTAAACACGTTGTTGCAGAGTTTGTTTGGGACCAGACTGCCTGCTGTTATGGGAGGGTCCTACACCTTTGTTGTCCCAACCCTTTCTATTATCTTTTCTGGTCGTTGGAATGACCCTAACCCCATTTCGGTTTGTACCCTAAACACTGACTTTGTTTGGATAACTTGTGAATATATTAAAAGTAAATACTCCCTCCCTTACCAAAAGATCATCCCAGTTTCCTTTTTCTCGTAAAGAAAAGATATCCCTATTTCTAAATCTTTCCATCATACTCTCAGTAATTTTTAAAATGATACACTATTACAATTATTATTTTTGGATTTATTGTTCCATCTTACTCTAAATAATTTATATCCTCTTTTCCTATTCATAATCTACTTACATGGGAACATCTTTATGTGACGGAGGAAGTACTAAATACAAACCAATCGCAGAAAGGCATTCGCTTCAATCCATATCTCATAGCTAGCAATAAAGGTGCACCCCCTTCATTCCACCTTTCACTATAGCACCGAACAACAAGTCTGCCACAGAAAGAATGGGAAGGGAGTTAAAACTCAATCATATCAAAATGATAGTACATATACAAAATTTTATAAGACAAAATCTTAATCTGCAAAAATATACTTCGTATCATGGAATTCCTACTATTCCACATTGTATACACAGTACAACAAAAGGCCAATCTGATGGACTTGCAGCTAAGCCGAGTTCCCTTATACTCTTTCTTACAACATTTTAGTTTTTACCACACGAGGTACAATATTCAAAGTCTTCTTTTCTCCCGGCCATTGACAAACACTTCTCCAAATTTGTGGATTGAAATATTTGTATATCATCATTAGTCCAATGAAGTCTGTATACTGGATGTTAACAAAAAAACATTTGTGTCTCCTATTTGTGAGAATCTGGTACTTTTGACTTTTTGAGGCAGTTGCTGAACCACGTAAATTTTGGTGTTCTTGCATCTTTTGTATTCTCTTTGTTCGGTTCTATTTGTCGGGTAATATTTGGTTGGTGATATATTTAGCATTACATCATTAAGGGACATTTGTGTCACCCAGATGGTGATCAAAGCCTAAGTTAGTTCGATCTCATGCTCCTCCAATGAGCTAGAATGTATCATGTTTAATTTTGTGGTACAGTTGTTCACATTTTGTGGTACAGTTGTTCATAATTTGTCTTTAATTAGCTCAGTAAATGTTGTTTCTCAATCTGTTTCCGTGATCAGAAATTTAAGAAGATAATGCGGGCCACACAAGGTGCATATATGATTTCTTCAACTCTTCAGATAGTCCTCGGCTTTAGTAGTCTCTGGCGCAGCATTACAAGGTTGGTTAAAATTTTACCTACTTGTGCTAATGTTGCATGTATGCAGTGATGAACTGGTCTGTTTTTCAATCTTTGAAAGTGTTTGATTTGAGTTTTTTTGTATGATGATATTATGAGTTGGACTTCCAATTATATTCACTGATTCACATATACTACGTATTAGTTTAGTAGTTGCTTTGGGATACCTATTTTTGCAAAACATTGGTATCAATTATGATTGATAGAATTTAGGGGTGTATTCGAGTCACCTAATGGAGTTATAAAGCATTTGGACCAAATCATACTCAAAGATTGACTCCAGTTTATTTAACTTTCGACCTAATGTTTTAGTATCCATCATTTTCTATATGGAATAGGTCAGGTTAACAATGTTCGGTCATGTGGGGTTGTCGAAAAATACTGAATATGGAATAAAAATCATCATATGAGACTGGATTATTCCTCATATTAAATCAGATCTTTCTGAATGGAATCCAATTCTCTATTTGGCATGAGAGCCCGATCTACTATAGTTTGTTTGTTTGTTTTGCACCCAAGATTTTGGGCAGCCCATTTTAGGTGATGGAGTATGAAGTTAATAATGGTCAAACATTTTTGTCAGGTTCTCATAAACCATTGGTTGTTATTGTACATGTTATGTACTGTCTTGTTACATTTTTTGGAGAACTGCATCATTGTATGAGAAACTTACCTTGTTAATGATTCTTCTTTTTATATGGCTTGTTAGTCATTTGAGTCCGCTTTCAGCAGTTCCTTTGGTTTGCCTTGCTGGTTTCGGTCTATACGAGCATGGTTTTCCTGCGGTTAGTATACATTAATGTCTGTTGCTTATATATAGTTTTTTTATGATCATAAATGTTACCTTAACTCCACACATTGTCTTCTTTTGGCCATTTTTTATTTGTATGCTAATCTACCCTTTGCATATTCACTTTGTGCATATATTATGGACTAATGGTTTACCAACTTTTGTTTAGGTTGCGGGTTGTATTGAAATAGGATTACCACAACTTGTCATTGTAGTCTTTATCTCCCATGTAAGAGTGCTGCAAATCATATAATACTAGTATTGTGATGAGTAAAAAGTAAATACTCTCGCCTAGAGTGGTCAATCACATATATTGTTTTAATAATGAAATTATTAATTTTGGTATTTCAGTATTTGGGTCGCCTCTTAAAGGGAGATTGTTTTCGTCTCGCTGTTGTAATTTCGGTGACTATTGTATGGCTATATGCCTACATACTTACCATTAGTGGAGCCTATAATCATGCGTCACTAAAAATCCAACACAGCTGCCAAACTAATCGCTCTGGTCTCGTTCATGCTGCCCCATGGTATATACTTCATGTGATACTTTTTCCATATGCAAAGAACAATCCTGTAAAACACTTTATTTTACTCAACCAGTTAACAATTCACATAGTCACATATAGTATGAAGCCCTTATAATTTTCATCTTCTTTTTTATGTACTGCAGGATTAGGATTCCATACCCCTTTCAATGGGGAGCACCTTCATTTGATGCAGGCGATTCCTTTGCGATGTTGATGGCTACATTTGTTGCTCTTGTAGAGGTTTAGTTTCTTTTCTTCTCATTCTTGTAGAGTTTGATGGGCGGATATATAACTGATGTAGTTCCTCGTATTAATGTTTTATATTCAAGAGCAACAATTTTATCTTTCATTTTGTAATATTTATTTGTGTTATTTGTTCTTATTTAAAGGGCAATCACACTATTTGCTATGATAATGATAACTTCATGTCTTGAATGTATGTGTGTTAATTATTCTCAACTTCTCATATCAAGTGTTTTCTATCCTTTAGTTGCTCTCGACTTATATGAGTTCTTTTCACATTTGGTCCTCTATTCATGAGAGTTTTTCTTCTTATTTATAATGCAAGAAGAGTGGCGCTTTTGTTGAGACCTTTCAAAGTAACATAAGAGAAGTTATATGTGTCTAGAGATTTCAATACTGGAGAATTTCAGCATAAAATTTACAAAGGTTTTAGGAACCGTTTATAAAATCAGTCAGACATACCGAGCTAGTATAATTTAAGCTTTGGGAGAAAAGTGTCCCACTATAAAATTGCTATCTATATTCTACACATGATCTCCACTAAAATATTAAATCATCTTGTGTATCACATCACTAAAATAACTTACCACAACACTATGCAACTTATGCTTACGGCATGAACTTTTTATCAATGCCAACACCCCTTATGTCCTTGGATCACCTCCCAACTCAATTCTCATTGTCTTCCAACCTAATTTTCACTGCCTCCTAATCTAATTCTCATTGCCTTCAATATTGGCTACCAGATATTCTTTAGTTAAAATTACCTTTTTTAGTCGAAAGTGACTTTTTTATTCTGAGTGTTCTATTTCTATTTTGCTTATCTACTTTGGATATGCTTGTCGCTTAGGCGCTTAGTTGTTCTATTGATTGGTAAACAACTGGTCTTGAACTAACTCCCCATTTTGTTGTGGTGTTTGCAGTCCACAGGTGGGTTCATTATTGTTGCAAGGTTCGCAAGTGCAAGTGCAGTTCCACCATATGTTCTAAGTCGTGGTGCAGGTTGGCAGGTAACCATAGGATTTATTTGGTTGCATTTATATTTAGATGACTCATATATGACCAAAACATTAAAGCACTGCAAATCCATCTTCTTTTAATATCACAACCCAAAAGGCAGGGCTTACTAATGCAAACAGCTTGAAGTCTCATTCGAGTAATTGCTTCTAAAGTCATACATCCACTTATAGGAAGAATACTTTGCTAGTATAGGTGTATCTTATTTAGTCAGTTAGGCCCCTCTAGATCAACTTCATGTTAATCCAAAGAGAGAGAGTGTGTGAAGTCATCCCACATCGATTACATACAGACTCTTATTAAATGATCGTGGACTATTACTCCTATAAGGTTGACTGTTTAGAAACTTGTAATCTTAATAGATTAATATGACATAAGAGCCCATTACCCTCAAATGAGCAATAGATCACACTAAAACTCAATACAAACTCATTTATAATTCCTTAGCTAATCCTCGATCTTATAAGTTTCACCTCTTAGAATGTGACATCGACTCTTAATAAAGTTTGACACAGTCTTTGTATTGTTCATGCTTATATCTGTATATGGTCTTTGAATCATAACAACAAATGTTCGAACCTTTAGAGCTGCATTGGCATGAAAATGCTCACCCTGCAACCATCTCACCTTTTCTGACATTCAAGTATTTTTTTATGTGTATCATTAAATAAATGATATATGTGCTTTTGTTTTTCTTATTTTATTTCACAAATCATAAAGATTTTTGGCTCTTCATGCAGGGAATTGGCATCTTTTTATGTGGGATATTTGGTACCGGAATTGGATCTTCTGTATCAATGTAAGTTCCATTTTATTGTAAGAGCTCCGACCAAATACATGCTAATCCGTCAGTAGAGCAGTTGGTGAAGCTAGCCTAACTCGCACATGCGCATGACGTAAGAATTAAGGTTCTTACAATAACATATTATCTGGTTACTTGAATGCGCAGAGAAAATGCTGGCCTTCTAGCAGTTTCACGTGTTGGCAGTCGAAGAGTAGTTCAGATCTCTGCTGGCTTCATGATTTTCTTTTCTATTTTTGGTAAGTAAGCCATTATAATAATATTACTACCTAATATACAATGAGATTAGCATACCAAATATGCTATGAATTCTTCTTGTTGAATCTCTCATTGTTTTCAAAGAGATTATCTTTTCTAACCAAATCATATTACATCAGGGAAATTTGGAGCAATCTTAGCTTCAATCCCAATACCAATAGTGGGCGCTTTGTATTGCCTGCTTTTTGCTCATGTTGGTAAGTGTATTATACTATTCGGACATGGGTGATATCCAAAAAGACCAATATAATCTTACGTGTGGGTTTGTATAATTATTATTTGCCGGTGTAGGACAATCTAACTGATATTAGCTCCAGGGTTGTCTTGCCGCATTTACCAGCACTTGTTATTATTAAGTGGGACATTCTTAATCACCGCCTATCTCTCCTATCTATGATGATCAGGTGGTGGAGGTTTAAGCTTGCTTCAGTTTTGCAACTTGAATACCTACCGAACAAAGTTCATTCTTGGCGTTTCCATGTTTCTTGGTTTGTCCATCCCTCAGTACTTCAACCAATATGCCGCCATCAATGGCTACGGACCTGTCCACACGAGTGGGAGATGGGTATGCTTATTAAGCTTTACTTATTTGTTTAGACTTAGAATTCCGTAATAACTCCAAGATATTATGTCTTATATGCTTTTGTTTTTATACATGAGCACTTATTTTTACCACTTTCCGATGTTCTCGTGTACTACTCTATTACTGCATTTTTTTAATTTACTTTAAATAATTCCATTTGGTGTTTCTTTTTTCTTTGCGCTTCAATATCAGTTCAACGACATAGTCAATGTGCCGTTCTCGTCAAAAGCTTTTGTTTCTGGGGTTGTGGCATATTTCTTAGACAACACAACACGGACTAAGTCTGAAGCAAAGGACAGTGGGGTGGAGTGGTGGGCCAAGTTCAAGTCTCCCAAATCAGATTCAAAAAACGAGGAATTCTACAGCCTCCCTTTCGGTCTCAATGACCGTCGCCGATAATCATGCTTGACTGGTAGATGTATATGCTCTCTCATAAGGAAAGTGTGTGGTATTTCACACCCTTCATGTAACATTTTTCATTCATTCTCCTCCTATGCATGTCCATTTGCGCACAACCAAATGTCTTATTGTATGTATATGTATTACATAGTAAAATATATACTAGTATAGTCTTACAACATGGCGTTGAAACATAGAATATTTATTTGTTTGTTGCATATGCTCATATAGAATGATATTATTATATACAAAGTTTTGTTTCAATTTGAATGACATCTTATAAAAGAATCGTGATTAAATTTTGTGTATTAGATTCAAGATCCCACAACTTTATAAGGTGCAACATTTTATTAATTATTGAGTTCACTCGTAACACGTTTTATTGGATTGAAATTCTCCTATATGGTCTTGTTTGTTTGGATCTGGTATAGTCTAGTCTGAATTGGTCTGGAATTCTTCTCTTATGTGTGTACTTTAAAACTGTCAAAGTTTGGTCTAATCATGTCCGACTCAGGATTGAAATTAGTTTAAATAAGAACATCCTTAGAAAGTTACCATTATATAAAGAATATGGATGGACACAGTTCGGTCTGGTCCCCAAAAGAAAACATGGGACTGAGACAAGGTCTTTATATACGGTTGCGAGCCGGACTCGGTTGACGGACTGATCCTAGAGGTGGACCCGGTTCCGATCCGGGGCCTGATTTGAATCCAGCTAACTATTATACTTCCCACACCATAAACCAACTATAAACCAACTCATCTCCATTGGATCAATGGAGCACCAAACAAGCAACACATCATCAAAGTTTGTGATAAATACCTAAGCTTTTGAGTCGATCTAGAGCGGCTTGCTAGCTCAACCAAAGCTTTCGAGTTGAAGTCGAGTTTCAATATTTAAGCTCAATCGAGCTCGAGCTAAACTCGGGCATATAAAATATTTTCGGTCTCGAGTTCGCGCAAACGTGAGTTCGGGCTCAGATCGACTCGTTTGCACCCTTAGTATGAAGAAGATCCCTTTCCTTCACTTTATGTTAACATAAATTTGTATTGTCTTGAATTTATGAAGTTAAAAGTGTATTAGAAAACTTATAAAAAGTTAAACATCACAGGATTCTGTTATGGATTATTTTTAAAAATTCCCCCTAGTATCAAACATAGCGCCTTTTTGCAATTTGCAACTAACCGTTCACCAATGGTACCTATTGGGATATTAGGGCCCGGCCAAACCACAGGCCCAAAGTATCCCTAAGAGGCCCGACTTCAACGGGATCCAACTAATAGGGAGCACACACGGGAAGGGACGCACGGTGCCTGCCGAACGATCACTACTGAACGGCCAAAACACGCTACTTGGACCATTCACCACACTAAGCAGAGGTGGCCATAGAGGATCGACCCAAGAGAATTGGTCGGAAACCTCATTATTGGTGGGGAGCGCATTTAATGCAAGAGATGTGGGGGATCCTATGATTGGGGTCATCCACTCAGAATCGGCCACATCACCCCCCAACTACTCACAACAATATATTTGATTTTAGCTCTTGTATTAGCCTTCTATCCCGTAGATCCCGTTCGGTCATTTCCATGTAATCAGCATATTTACTTCAATACCGGTTAATTATCTCTTCTTGGTGATCATTATCTACACATTATTCATTTTAATCCTTACATTCTAACGACGGCCAAATGATCGTGTTGGGCCTTTGAACTTGGAGGAATAAAGCTCAACTGTACCTATTTAGGAACTCTGAAGAACATAACTAAAGAAATTCTAACAAATTAGAAGAAGCAATCTGATCAGTACGAACGTATTGTACATGCCATAGGTAGAGGGGCTACTGTCAGCCAATCCTACTTTTTACTTAAAATGTTTTCAGTCCCAGACCAGATCAGACCAGACCAGTCCAGATGTGAATAATTATAAAATACACAGAGTCCAGACATTTACCGGACCAGACTAAACCAATCCAGACCAGAAAATTTCGTTCAAGTAAAAACACCCTTAATGTGACTTAATTGAAAGGGTTGATGTGAATGATCCGCTCACCATAATATCTCTTAATGCACACGCTTGCCTCACATGGTCGTGAAACTGCATACCACAAATAAAGAAATGACATGAATTGTTCAAGTGTATGTTAGATTTGGCTATGAAACTACAACCACATTTCTAACCAATACAATTAATATATGACTTATCTGTGGATTTATGCAAATCAACAAAGATCATTCATTAAAAGTCTATGCATTTAAAAGTTTATGGACAATTTTAAAAGTCCATGGTTTAAAAAAATTCGCCACAATCCATATACATTACACCCTCTTAAATGGAAATCGGCAATACTAAATGACAAGCGAGAAACAAAATTAATTGAGTTAATAAGATATAGAGTAGATGTGCACGCATTTTTTGGACTGAAAGTATATGCATTAAATATATCCAAAAGAATAGGGAGGAATATACAGGGAACAAGACTATTTTTTGGTATGCTCATTTTTTACTACTCCCTCTATCCCAACGTCATATCCCCGTTGCGTCTTATGATGCTTGAATGACGATGAAGTAAATTGACCCGTGTCAACATTCAAGTTATTTATATTAAATAAAATTTGTATATTCAGAAATTACATTAAGTTACGAAATCCACAAAAAAACAGATCATGTTGTAGTTATTAGATGGGAAATTATCAGTGACCTCCCTTGAGGTTTCACACATTATCACTTAGACCCCTACACTATTAAAAATATACTCTTACCCCCCTCCCTATCCTTTAATGAGAGTTTAATAACTCATAATCATGTTTAGCAAAATTATAGATTTAATCCTGTAAATTTACTCACTTGTAGATGTGATCCGGTAACACATAAATTTATCCGAATTACAATTTTTTGTCACCAGAAGTTAAAGTACACTATGTGACGAAAACTTTGACAACGTCTTTTCAAGTTTGTTTTTTTGTTGGAATGTGTGATTCCCGAAGCAATAGTCCTTAATATAGACATATTTATTAGTTATAGAACTACATCTATAAGAGAGTAAATATATAGGACTATTAGCGAACACAATAAAAAATCCGAGCATAAAACAACAAATCTTTATTACTTTTAAAAGTTCAAAACTATCCATGAGGTTGTAGAAATCTTCGTGAAATATATATCTCACATCAGAGCTTTTCTTTCCCACGTAAAAAAAGATTATTAACTTCATCATTTTTCTTAATTAAAAGTGTCCCCTAATATATTTTAGATATAATGAAAATATTTTTAAAGTTTCAGTGAACATTATTTAGAATTACAGTTTAGCTAAACTTTTGAAATGTTAGTTTATACCTAAAAAGATGTTGGTGAATGATCTTTAGGACAATATTTGACATATTTTAATATTGTATGGGAAATACTTAATTTCAAGGTCGAGATCATTCAAGCAAGTATTTCTCATAAAACTTTAATAGGTACAATATTGTTCTAAAAATCATTCACCAACATCTATTTTAGGGATAAAACAGTATTCCAAAAGTTTAGCTAAACTGTAATTATGAATAATGTTCATTCAATATTTTAAAATATTTTTATGAAATCCAAAAATATATTAGAAGATGATTTTAATAAGATGATTGAAGCTAATAATCCTTTTCCACGTGAGAAAAAAAATCTGACATCAAATGTATATTTCACGAAGATTTTTATAATCTCAGAGATATTTTTGAAGGGTTAATTATCAAAATAGGACTAAAAGTCACTCACTTTGCACAAATAGGACCAAAAACTAAACTATGTTTTCATAGGACTAATTATGTGTGTCTTGGACAAATATACTCTTCTAGCTATTGAAATGTTTTAATTCATAATAAAATAATAAAAAATAATAAAAATTCGTAAAAAATACTAAAAAACTAATAAAAATATTTCAATAATAATTAATTTATTTATTTTTTTTCAAAAAAAAAAAACTCAAAAAAATAAAATAAAATTCACCGCCGTCTCTGCCACCTCTGCACCACCACTTCCAATCACCAGGGAAAAAATGCCAAATTCATTACGAATGCCATATTTATGGAAGAAAACAATAAAAATATTGACATTCTGAAAGAGAAATATGCCATGTTTTTGGCATTTTCAGAAAAAATGGCAGTTTTTAGGGAAACTGGCATTTTTTCACAGGCCGGAGATGGTGGTGCAGGGAGGTAGTACAGGCGGTGGGAAAGGCATCCATTTTTTATGGAGTTTTACTGTTTTTTATTAATTTTTTTTTAAAAAAATAATTTTTTTAATTTTTTATGTTATAAATATTTTGTAATTTTTTTAATTATTTTTCTACGAATTTCTGATTTTTTTTCGAATTTATTATGAATTAAACATTTAATTAACTACTCTCTCTGTCCCATTTTACTTAGCCAAATTTGAATTTTCAAGTCAATGACGTCTACCTTTGACCGATTATACGTTTATATAGAGAAAATATTAATAGTATGAAAATGATATGAAAATGTTCTTTGTTAAAAATAATATCATAAAAGTATAAAATCATTAAATTTTGCATAAATATATTAGTTTAAATAATTGGTCAAAGTTTACCACCTTTGACTGGAAAAGTCAAATATGGCTAAGTAAATTGGGAAGGAGAGAGTAATATTTAAAGGAAAGGTAAAATTGGAATAAACAAATAGGTATGTTTCCAATAGGACTAATATGGTCCTATTTTGAAAAGAAAAACATAGTAAGTCCTATTTTGAGTTTTTGCCATAGTTTTAGTCCTATTTGGAGTAATTTCTAATTATTGAACTTTTAAATCTAATACAAATTTATCGTTTAAAATTCGTACTTTTAGTTCTATAAATTTACTCTCATGTAGATGTACTTGTGTAACTAATGAATATGGTTATATTAAGTATTACTTCATCGGGAAGTACACATTCTTGCACGAGCACATACTAGAAAAGATGACCATAAACTTTTCTCCACAAAGTATTGATGGAGTATATGGCCCGGGAACCCCCGGCCCACAGACTCCCACTACTCCAGCAAAAGCCCAACAGGCCCAGAAGGCCCAGCAGGCCCAAATCACAGCGCCCAGAGTACCAAGCAGCCCGCACTACGCGCCAGGGGTGCCTTCGACCCCCTGGCCGAAGGCTCTAAACTCTCACAGAACGGGTTTCTCAAGCAAATGAAGAAACTTGGAGAAAACGGCGAAAACAGTAGCCCTCGGCATTGTGAGCCCTC